GAAGAAAGAATATAAGAAAAGGACCCCTCACAATCCCGGTACACATTTTAATCTCAGGGTAAGGGGGTATATTTTTTAACAAATTCCCAATTTTGTCAAAACGCTATTAAATTTATTCCTAGTTAACACCCTATATATATATATATATATATATATATATATATATATATATATATATATATATATATATATATATATATATATATATATATATATATATATATATATATATACATATATAAATATACTTTTTTTTAAATAAAAGTGTATGATTAGGCGGTAAAAATTTAGGTATGATTAGGCGATAAAAAAAATTTCAAGAAGTGTGTAATTATATTTGCACACATTCTAATAAAAAAATATTTATGACTATTATAAAACAGAATTTAAAAATTTATTCTATAAATGAACTCTAAAATATGTGTGTATGTAAAATAATAAAATAATAAAAATGAACCCATTCTCGTGCAAGCTCTAAAAGTGATTTCCTTGTCACACCAGGTAAAATCAAACCTGTCAATGGTGCTGTAATAAGCTCATCTTCTATAATGAAATAAGCAACATAACATATTATAAAGATTTGTTATATTATGAAATAAAGCAATTTAAAAAAAAATTTTTAATAAATTTTAAATTTAATAAATAAATATAAAAAAATAAAGAAATAATCAAAACTTTGAACTTTTTTTTTAAAAATAATCAAAATAATATGCAACAAATTGAATATTCTTAAATTAATAATTTTGAAAATGCATTAGCAATAATAATAATAAAAAAATCCTTCAACCTCCTTGTTCATTTATCCAATACATAAATATGTTCATTGTACCAACCTCAGTTACCTAGTAAAACATAGGAATTATATTTTAACTATTACTTTCATACTTATCATATTACCGATAATCCTTATCTAACATCAATCTCTAACTCTAATTTTCTAAAATTATCTTAAACATAAAATAATTTTTTTAAAAATGAATTACACTGCTAGTATTATTTAAATTAACATCTACTAAGGTTGCATCTCTTTATTGTGTTCGCCACTTTCATACTCCGGATTCTATTCTTTATCCCTATAAATCTCAAATACGTCTTTGTATGGAATACTGTTGCAATATCAGGGGTGGATCATCCAATTATGCTCTTTCTCTTTTAGACAAGTTGCAAAAATGCATTGTAAACATAGTTGATCTTGCAGCATACCTGATCTTGCAGCCAACCTCTAACCCTTATCACGTTGTTGTAATGCTGCTTCTCTTTCTCTTTTCTATAAATACTACAATGTGGACTGTTCCAAAGAACAAGTGTCTCTTGTGCCATCTACTAAAATTCATTCTTTTAAGTCTCATCCTTTTACTTTGACTGTTTCTAAATGCTCCAAAAATTCATATTCATCTAGTTTTTTTCCTCGAACACGAGTTTTTTAGAGTTTGCTTCCTTTATCTTGCTTTCCTGATTCATACAATTTGCAATCTTTTAAGTTGTCTATCAATCGTTATATTGCTCTATAAATTTCATCTTTTATCTTCCAGTAACTTCCAACTCTAATAGTGGTTGCTTGCAGCCTTTCTGAAAGTGAAGATGTTAATATATATATGTATATATATATATATATATATATATATATAATATATATATATATATATATATATATATATATATATATATACACACATATATATATATATATATATATATATATATATAAACATATATATATATATATATATATATATATATATATATATATATATATATATATATATATATATATATATATATATATATATATATATATATATATATATATATATATATATATATATATATTTAAACAACTTAAAATGTATTCTACAAAAAGAGTGCTCAATGTTCTTAAAAGAACAGAGCAATTACAAATTAGTAGAAAATCACTAAGCAAAATTTTTTCTCATTTAACACTGTGTTTCATCAATAAAGACTCATCAGAAATGAATGATCAAATTAATAAAACTTCAATTAATACCAAAAATTAAATTACAGGAAGTCACATGTCTTAACTACTGCAATTTTTCACACATTTGTGTAATTTGCTGACACTAATGTAAAAAGAATTCTTTAGAAATGATTACTTAAGCCTTTTTAAAAAATAATATATTTTTTTCAAAGGGAAGTTAATGTAACTATTATTTGAGCTCACTTATTTTTATAGTTTTTTAGAAGAAACTTATTTTCATGCCTGCATTTAGAAATCAATTCCGATTTTTTGTTTAATAAACATTCTTGGTTTGTATGTGTAATTATTTCAAATTTTTCTTGTAGACATAGTACGCATTTTTTGGAAATATTGTTATATGCAGGCACTGTTTTAAGGATGGACCAATTCAGTGTAAAATCATCAATATTTTAATCTTTTAGTTCCCATATATATTTTGACAGCATGGTGTCTTTTGTATACTTTTTATTTTTAAAAGAAACAGTTCGCATAATAAAACATTGTAGAAAAACCTTACTTTATTTTAATAAGGAAACTTGGAAAAAGAAAAACATACATAACTGCTTTGATGTAACAAAGGGCAGTTATGATGGAGCAGAAATCTAATGTTGACATAATTTTATAGAGAAGTCTCTGGAAGTTTGACAAGTGAATAAAAGGGGAGGGGGAAGTAAAAATTTCCAAAAAATTGTTGACATAATTAACAGACAGCCTCTTATTTTGAAAAAACAAAAATCTAAAATCTAACTTGATCATTATATAACCAGAGGCATTGTGCACATCCTTTTGATTCAGCTATATGCTGAGGATAAATGGTGGGTCCGTAGTTACTAAAAAAAAAGAATTTATAAAACATTGAAAATAAAATTTAACGCAACTACTAATTGCTAAATTACTTAATTATAATTTATAGTAATAAATACAATTTTTATTTTAAGTTAATAAATATAAACAAATATGTAACAACAAGCATTATTTAAAACTACTAACCCTCCTGCTTTTTTGTCACCTATTCCTCCAGGCCATGACCTAACAAAATTAGGATCTGCAAGTAATGATATTGGCTTAAAAATACCAGTTGAGAAATATGGTCCAACAGGTCCAGTTATAACAAAAAGCATAGCACTTGAAGGTGATTTAACTCCAAGAGTCGACTTAAATAGATTAAACAACAACACAATTTAAACAATAAAATCATAACATTTTTTTACTTAAAACAAAAAAAAAAACATATAAAAAGCATATAAAAAAAACATATAAAAAGTAAACATATACAAAGGTTCAAATTTGTTTACAACCTTGATACTACACAAATTAATATGTAAATACTAATTTTTTTCCCCCCTAAATGTTTTCATTTCAAGAGTTAGTACAAAAAACAAGTAAACTGACTAGAGGTTATGATAACAAGTAATTTAAAATTGACTATATTTGCAGTGGTAAATCTTGAAGAACAAAAAAATGAATAAAAAAAGTTTTTGGTAACCTTTTGAAATTTAAGAACCATAATTTATAAACTTATATTTTATAAAGAACATTTAAAATACTATTTCTACAATAATTTAAGTTGTTTACTAAAGAGCAATTAAAATTGTTTTTTAAAAGCACACTACAATTAATCTATTCAGAAATCTCCTTTTAGCTAGCATTTTACCTCTCTCTCATGCTACCACATTTTTTAAACCATAACAAATGCTTTTTGTTATTAAACAATACGGATTTCAGGTATAAATTTTTCAAGGTTTTAATGTTACTTTTAATATTTCTTTAACACTTTACTTGCTAATGAACAAATAAACCATTTTTTAAATAAACTGGCAACTTTGAATATCATACCTTATGAGTGATTGTTGAAGGTCAAGTGATATCCTCATTCAGTTAAATAGCAAAAAAATATAGTATAGTATAAACTTTATATTTCAATTAGAGTATAAGATTGTTTGTAACAAAGATATTTGAAATAACTTAAATATTTATATTTTTCTTTTTTTCTTCATATAAAATGATTATATTTTCAATTTTTCATATTTAGATATTTCAAAATTCAAATTTCCCAATTTATTATAAAATATTTTTGCTAGACTCAAAAGGTTATTTAAAGAAACTACACTTAAACATGAGTAGTCAATTGTTTATAATGTAATAAAATAGTGTAAAATTTTATATTGCATTTAGAATAAAACATTGTTTGTAACTGAGATGCTCGAAAAAGTTTCAAATATTCTTATTTACTTTTATACTCAAATATTATTATTTACTATTATTATATACTTATTTTTTGAGCATAATACTTACACATTTTTAACATGAGTTTTCATTCTTTCCAAAATGACAGGGAATAGTTCATTATAAAAATTTTTATGTTACACTCAATAGCTAATTTAGAGAAACTACCTTTAAACATAAGTTTTTTTTTTTTTTTTTTAATTATCTTTGCTTCCAACAAGGCTGCAAGCAACCACTAATTAGTGTTGGAAGTTACTGGAAGAGAAAAGATGAAGATTTAAGAGCAAGATAACAATTGATAGACGACTTAAAAGATTGCAAATTATATGAATCAGGAAAGCAAGATGAAGGAAGCGAATTCCAAAGAACTGATGTTCGAGGAAAAAAACTAGACAAATAAGAGTTTTTGGAGCACTTAAGAACAGTAACAGAAAAAGGATGAGACTTAATTGAATGACGAGTAACACGAGAATGAATTTTAGTAGATGGCACAAGAGACGCTAGCTCTTTAGAGCAGTGCCCATTATAGTATTTGTAGAAAAGAGAAAGAGAAGCAACATTACAAGTTTGAATTACATTGACAGAGGTTGAAGGTTGGCTGCAAGAGCAGGTCCAACTATATTTACAATGCATTTTTGCACCTTGTCTAAAAGAGAAAGGGCATCATTAGAAGATCCGCCCCAGATATGGCAACAGTATTCAATACAAGGCCGGATTTGAGATTTATAGAGATAGAGAATAGAATCCAGAGTAAGAAAGTGACAAGCTCGATAAAGAGAAGCAACTTTAGCAGATGCTAATTTTGCAACGGATTTGATATAAGGTTTCCAAGAAAGATCAGAAGTAAGAGTTAATCCTAGAAGATGAAGGGTAGGAGACTCATCGAGTACAGTACCATTCATAAATATAGGAAAATCTAAACTATTGCGATAACGATTGGCCGAAAAAAAAGTTTTATCTAAATTAAAGTTCACCAGCCACTGTGAGCCCCATGCTGTAGCAGAAGTGAGATCCTTTTCAAGCAAGATCCTTTTTCAGATACCCCCTGCAAGCAATCAGAGGGAGTTGGCTTCCTATTGTGACAAGAATAAAAGGTAGTATCATCAGCGAACAATGCCACCTTAGATGTGAGAATATCTGGAAGATCATTAATGTAAATTAAAAAGAATATAGGGCCAAGGATTGATCCTTGAGGAACCCCTGAGGTTACAGTATAAGAAGAAGAGTGCTGTCCATCAAGGACAAATTTTATACTACGATTGGAAAGAAAGGATTCAATAATCTTAAAGATGTTTCCAGATACACAGTAAGAAGAAAGCTTATAGAGAAGACTAGCATGCCAAACTTTATCAAACGCTTTAGAAATGTCAAGAGCGATAGCCTTAACCTCTCCACCTTTATCTAATGCGTGATAAAACCTATCGGTTATTACTGATAGCAAATCAGCTGTAGAACGAAAAGATCGAAATCCATATTGATGATCAGAAAGTAGGTTATGAGATTCGAGATTAAGTGTTTGTTAATTAAAGATTCAAAAAACTTGCTTATGATAGGAAGAAGATTAATGGTACGGTAGTTAGATGAATCAGATCGCTCTCCAGAATTTTTAAAAATAGGGATAACAGATGCTGCTTTCCAGCAGACTGGAAAACAAGACTCTGATAAGCACTTGTTAAATAGTTTCGAAAGGATAGACGACAGCTCTGGAGAACACTTCTGCAGGACTATAACAGGTATGTTGTCCAGGCCGCAAGCTGGACAGAGTGATACGAATGTCGAGCAATGGATCAACCTGTTTGACGGCTATATCAGGTAGAACGCAACTAGTGGCATCAAGAGATGATATTGATGAAAAGTTCTTGGCAAACAATTCAGCTTTGTCTTTAGGTGAGGTGACAAAGTCTGAACCATACAAAAGAGGTGGAATTACAGACTTACCCTTACTATTGATACTATTAAAGATTCTCCAGAAGTCACGAGAGCCTAATTTTTGTGATGAAATACGAGATTTCATGAGCGGGCTTTGGCATTAGACAAAACCTTTTTACAATGGTTCCTAGCAGTAATAAACAGACGTCTGTTTTCTGGAGAATTGTTTTGCTGATAGATATGGAAGTAATGGTTTCGATTGGCAACTGCAGCAGCACAATGTGAGAAAAACCATGGAGAAGAGTGAGACTTGACCTGGAATAGTCGAGAGAGAATAAAGGATTCCATGCCAGCCTGAATCCATGAAGTTATGTAAGAAGCACATTTGTCAACAGGTAGACAAAAGATTTCTACCCAGGGGCCATCACGAAGAAAATCACGGAAAGAGTCCCAGTCAGCTTTAAGGTAGTTGTAAGATGTACAATAATAGGGGGATTCTGATGGTAAAGAAGAATGAGATAATAGTTTTAGAGAGACCAAACCATGACCAGAAGCACCTTAGGGTGAGTGTGAAGAAACTGAGCACTGACTAGGATCAAAAACAAGACATAAGTCGAGTAGAGAAGGTAAATGATTCAGGTTGTCTGGAAAGCGAGTTGGAAAGTTGACTATTTGAGTTAGGGATTGAGAAAGACAAAAGTTGTGGGCCTTAATGCCTGCAGAGTCACTGATACTAGAGCCAAGCCATTCAGTGTGATGAACATTAAAGTCACCGACAACAACAATATTGGCTGATGGATAAAGAATGAGGGCTTGGTCAATATAATCAGAAATAACATCAAGAAGAGTGCAGTCTTGAGATGAGGGAGAGCGATATAGAACAAAGAGAAAGGTGATAGAGTGAAGTGGTGCTAAACGAAAGCACATAAAAGAGTAGTCTGTGGATTCAAACCTAGTTTCTCGACAAATGGGTGAATTCTTACAAATGTAAATGCCTAGGCCAAGCATGTGACTATTGGAGTCTTTACAAATTAAAGGAAGACAACCATCAACACTAAGATCACAAGATGAGACAGCTGAACTTAAATTAGTCTCACAAAGAGCAAGTAGGTCTGGTGAACTTTGCAAGTTACTTCGAAGACCAAGAATATTGGTGAATGATAGGTTTAGCGAACTTGGTGATGACTGTGGTTTTTTGTGTTTTATAGTTTTTGTTACTTTATTCATTTTTAAATTTGTTAAAGAACTTGACTCGAAACATAGATAGTAGTCAGTACACTGTTTTATAGCTCAAGCAACTGCCTCATTTTTATTAATAAACCCTAAGCCGTAACAAAGGGCTCCAATGTGGCCTTGGCAATGCACACCAAAAGTACAAACAGGGACACCATCCATGCGCAACATGGCACTGTTAGTACTCTGATATTTTTTAGCTGTTGATGGAATCAGCCTCTCTGAGAGCTACCACAGAGTTCGGGAAACCTGACTACCAGCCGGCCTCATAACCATAAAACTGAGTTTTAGAGCTGTACCCTCATTTGGAGATAATAGAATGAGTTGCCTAGTCATAAAAAAACAGAGACAAAAGCAAAACCCATGAATCGAGTCAAGAAGATCCAGCGTTCAACACCCTAAACTGGAAACAATGTATTAAAAATACATCTGCGCCAGCCTAATAGATGAAGAAGGGGTGCGAGGCTGGTCAACAGATAGAATCTGTTTACCCCTTAAGTCTTTGCCTAGGAGGCCTTCTACAAGACAGCAGCTGGATGCATTTAACATCTGCCCAAGATGAGTATTTTTATCGAGACACCATCTCTAGCCTTTACTTAACCAAGAGACCCAAGGCAGGGGGTGTTTTATGTCGGAGTTTGCATCTCCTAGCCTTTGCCTAAAAAGGCATATCCTACAAGGCAGCAGGACATGAAGCAGAATGTACTGGTTTACATGTTACCAGTATAAACTTATATTAGGTGCAATAAAATATAAAAATCCTCTATTAAACCAACCAAATGAATTATCTACCTCAGTACTTATCATTGTTGGTCTGATGTATAACGATGAATTTTCTGCATCAGGAATCCAACTCTGATCAATTCTTACTAATTCAGCTATACATTTTAGAAGTTCATCTTTATCAAATCCCTAGAATAACACATAGATAAATAAACATATATAAAACACAAACAAAAATTTATTATATGTTATAGAAAAAAACTAAAATTTAAAGAAATAGAATTTTACAATAATTTATAAAATATAGAATTTTAAAATAATTTATAAAATAAAATAGAAATTTAATAGAAAAAAACTAAAATTTAAAATAAAAGTTGCTATGTAAGTGAATATAATATAGAGTGTGTGGTAAAATTATACAATATTTATAGTTTTAATGTTGACTAAGAATATAGGGTCAGTTCATTATATTTCTACCAATGGCCTGTAGGACACCATCTCTGACTTCCTGATTTTTACACATTATTATGTGCATTATGTAGATAGGTTAAATTTGAAGTTTCAAACTTTCAAATGCAAGGGTTTAGAAATTATGGCCTCATAAACACAACTCAGTGATCCCCCTCAGTTTACAAATAGTCAAAATAGACTACTTTTAAACATTATAACTTTTTTATCATTTTTAACAACTCATTTTTTTTAAAACTGTTTTCTTGATAGTTCTCTCTTTAAAAAAGTGGTTTCTGTTAACTTGTATCATGTTAGAAAAAAAATTATAACCTCCTCAACTCAAAAATTCTGAAAATTGCTAAAAAATGCAATATTAAGTTAACTGTAGTATTTTTTCATCTAAAAGTTTTTAGAATTAAGTTTTCTGATTAGCTACTACTGTCTGCAATAAATGAACAAAATATAAGCTACTTGATCCTATTAAGAACTCAATTATATTTCAATAAAAATTTAAATATATTAAGAATTCAAATATATCAAATATATAAGACCTTTAGACCCAACTATCATGTTCACACCAAAAATGCTAGCATTTTTAGATAACCCTATTTTTTAATTACCAACAGTTAAATGCATTATTGGAAACCAGTGCCTCTCTAACCTGTTTACTGTGCCACCAATTATCATTTCCTAATAATTTTATGATAAAAAAAAAAAAAAAATAACTGTACTGGTATGGGCGCCCAAATTTTTAGCCTAAACTCCAGCTTAAAGTATTTCAATACTTATATAATACTTACATAAGTTTGTTTTTTAGAGTGAGTCTAGAGGCTACATTTGACTGTTTTTGGTAACTTTATAATCTTTTTTGCACTAATTGGTACTTGAGATTCGTAAATATGTTGACCAACTTTTAAGTTGTTTACTAAAAAAATAAAAAAGGTCCTTAATTTGTCCACAGAAGTATGACTGGTATGCCTAAAAATTTTTTGGATTTGTCACTGTTAATGCCTCTTTATTTGTGCCCCTATATTGAGGGGGCAGCCAACCATATCTTTCTATTTGTTAAGGAATGACTTAACAATTAGAAAGATATGGTCTTAAAAATAATTCATTATGAAAAAAAATATTTTTAATAAGTAACTAAATAAGTTCTTTAGTAATCTATAATGAAAAAAAAATAACCTATAATTTGAAAAAAAAAAAATCAGATTTCCTATTAGATTTCTACAATAATTTACTAAAACTCTTTAGAATTAAACGCGCTTGAATAAATTATAAAGTTTTTAGATTGCAGTGTATGTTTTAAAGACTTAAAAATCACACTTACACGGAGAAGGCTTTGACTAAAGCCAGAACGTTAAAGTTCTTAGTACATGTTTATTATTTTGCTTTAATCAAAAAAAAAAATCAGCCCAACATTTTTTTTAAAACATTCTCTTTAATATGAACACAACTTGTCTCAGCACTTTAGGATCCCTTTAAAATGAGATTGACATTTTCCCTTTTTAGGGCATAACATTGTGTAATATCTGGTACACAAAAAGTCAAGTTTGCATACAACATCAAAATCCAAATCTTACGATAAAAGAATGAAAAAATGAAAAAGTCAAAAGCTCTAATAATAATAACTTCGTAAGAAAATGAAGCGTTTATTTTTCCTGGAAAAAAAAAGAATTTAAAAATTTTTAAATGACCTGGTATTCAGCATATTAAATAACTTATAAATAATGGTTGAAAATGTTGAAAGTGCTCCTTAGAATTGTTAGTTAAAAGCCTAGATGTGTTTCAAGAAGAGTTAGCAATTAACTTATATAAATTCACAAAACATCATTATGTTAGCAAATCTCAGACATACTTTTTAAATCAGCTCAAAGAAAACTTGGAAGCAAAAGAATATATAATTCAAACGGATTTTGTTAAAAAACATTTATTTGTAATTCAGGATCAAGTTCATATTATTTTCTAAAAATCTTTATCGAAAAAAACTCTTTATCCATTTAAGAAAAGATTTCTCTTTAAAGACCTCACACTGTATATGTGAGATCTTTAAAAGGAAACCTATCCATAGAAAGTAAATTTTATGGTTTTTCATGTGACAATCTGTTTAACAATACTGAGGCAGTCTTTAGTTTTGTATTAAAAAGCACATGGAAAAAGTACATGTGATAGATTGGAAATTGGCCTTTAAAGATTTTGACACCAAAGTACATAGTTGCTAAAGAAAATTGTAAAAACATCAGGCATATAGCATTTTATTGTTGTATTTTTTTTAAATAAATGTTTTGTATCTTAGGGATTGCCCATAAATTATGCAAAGCTAAATTTCATTAATAAAAAAAACAATAGATAAAAAGTTTTCCAAGCTAAATTGCATTAATAAAAAAACAAAAGAGATCAAAAGTTTTCCCTCGCAAAACAATAGGTTAAATGAAAAATCAAAATAGCACATCAATTTTGATGTAAAAGATCTTTTGTTTTTTAAATAAATTTAGAGATGCATAATTTATGGACGATCCCTTATATTATAATGACCTTTAAATTTAAAGTAATTAAAATAGCCTATATAACTTTTTGTTTTAAAAAATCAATCTTAATATAATAAAAAAAACTTTAAACTTTTTACAATAAAAGTTTAAAAAAAAAAAAATTGTATAGAAATAATTCATTAAAATTAGATCTTACAAAATACATTTTTAAAATTATGTCTTAAGATTTATCTTATTTAAATTTATTCTTAAATTTCTCTATATATAGACATCATCCAAGTCATATTTTAAAAATTCAGAAAACATATTGCAAAAAAAATCTGGAAAAATATTCTGAATTTCCCTCAAACTTGTATTAATTTAGCTTTTAACTGATGTTTTCTTAATTTTTTTAAACTTTTCTTATATTTTGGATTGGCAAAAATGTATAAAATTTTGGAAGAAAAAAAAAAAAGTTAAAGAAATATTTAGAATTCTTAAGAACTTTTAAAATGATTTGAGAATGTTCTTGCTGTCAAAGGAACTCGCTAATTATTTAAAGGAACTTAACATTATTTCTCACCTCACTCATGCTGTTTAATGTCTAATGTTGCTGGTGGTACTGCGTTCAACTTGTTTCACTGCACAGGGGCCTTGTTAGTCAAGGTTCATGTTTTGGAGTTATAGGATTGTAAGAGGGTTGTAAACACAATTGAAGTAGCCTTCTTGATTGTAGTAGCCTTCATAGCCTTAGAAAAACAAATTTTATAAAAAAAAAAGATAATACTTCTAAATTGTGTAAATTATGTTTAAAGTACCACATTTAAACCATAATAAAGGTTACTAAATAGTTAGTGATCTTTATTTGTGCCCCTATCCACTAAAAAGACCAGATCAAGGAGGGGATAATCAACCATATCTTTTTTTTTTGTTAATAAATTATTTATAATCGGTTATCATCCCCCCTCCTCCATCACTTGGACCAGTAGGCAGAAGGGCACTGGTTTCCAATAATGAAAGTGTTAGAAAATTTTTTAGTTAACATCTCAAAATTGTCTTTTTTTCTGCGATTTCTTGCAGACATTAGTAGCTAATCAAAAAACATACCAGAAAAGACTTGTGCATGAATAGAAAAATACTACAATTAACTTAATTTTGGCATTTGTTTAGTGATTTTGAGAATTTTTATTATAATTTTTCTCTAATATAATACAAGTTAACAGAAACCACTTTTTAAAGGGGAAAATATCCTGAAATAGTTCTTGTTAAAAACATTTGTTGAAAATGAGAAAAAAGTTATAAGGTTTTTAAGTATTCTTTTTTGACAATTCGTAAATCGAGGGGGGCCAATGTGTATAAGGCCATAATTTCTAAACTTCTGCACATGGAAGTCTAAAATTTCAAATTTAACTTATCTATATAATGCACATAATGTGTAAATATCAGGAAAATCAGAGATAAAGTCTAACAAAGTTTTCTTTAAATTGGTTGAAATGAAAACTGACCCTACATTATTATATTTAGTAATTGTTTTTAATTATAAGAAATATGGATTG